GCTAGCATTAGGTCCAAGTTCTTTCCCTGGTTCCCCTGAAAGTTCATAGCCTCCTTCTAGTACTTGTCAACTCTGGTTCCCAGTCTTGGGTGAGACCTTTTGGCCACTTGGAGAATCTCACACAGAGTTTCAGAACAGATGTGTATCTTAAAGACGATACTTGGTCCTTCTTCTAATTTGATACTTGAGCCCAGAGAAAGCAAGGGTTTTCCTAAGGTCATAGAGCCTCTCAAGCAAGGCTTTAATTGAAAGCCAGTTTCCTAAACACAAATCCAGAGTTCGTTTGAATGTTTCTTCTGGGTCCCAATTCCTGTTCTTGGCCCAGGGTAAGCTCTTCCAATTGTGGGTTCCCAAATATCTTAGCCCAGAGTATCTAGTAAGGCCTAGTTTCAGCTTGACTTCCTGATTTTGCTTTTGCCTTTTTTCTCCTTCTCCTTCTTATTTCTCCTGCTCCTCTTCCTGTTTTCCTCCTTTTGCTCCCTCCTATTCCTCCTCTGCCTCCTCCTCGACCAACTAGATGCCTGACTTAGTTAACCCTGTAGGTCTCAGTCAGGTTTTGCAATTGTGAGATGTGTTTTGCCTTAAGTCACACTGCTTGGATTTGAGATATGTTTTTATCACTGCTTCTCTTATAGAGAATTCAAACCCCTCCCTGAGGTGTTTACTTCTCTGTTTTCAGAAATTGAGAGTTTACTGAAGAGGGTCTCAGTGCTCTCACTGTGCAACTTGGGCCTTTCCTCTCTTGCTACATGGACTACTCACTTTTCTCTCTCTCTACCTTACATGCTCAAGTCAATGGCAAGGTGACTCGTAGCAGCTCACCTCATTAGCTGTCTTCAGAGCTTCCAGTATCCCCTATCTGCCCCCCTCCTCACCAACCCCACTCCCTGCTTCTCCCTTTTTCAGTTGGGCTTTTAGTTTCTTTCTCTGTTCACCTCTGCCCACCTCAATCTATTCCATCCCACTCCATTTTCCCTCTTGTAAGATTGCCCAGGATTTCAAGTCATGGACTTCTTTGTCTGATACCAAAGTTCAACTCGTTTAACAAATCTTGTTCCCTGTGTAGTCTTCTTGGGAAGTCACTCTCTCTGAGCTTCCATTTGTGATCTGTAGAAGAGAGATACTATTACTTCCCCTCATAGTTTACTGTGAATCTTAAATGAGATAAAGCATGGGAATTATTTTGAAATATGCTGGCCGAAAATAAGTGTGTGAGACATGTTAGCTATCACTCTTGCTCATGCTTTTTATCCCTGTCTGTATTTCCCCTACTTGCTCTTAACTGCACTTTCTCATCTCCCTTCCTTTAGATGGCAATGATATAGGGTAGAGGTGTCAACATTATAGCTGTAGGCATGAGGAAAAGGCCTAATTTGTTCCAGAGGGATGTGTAAATTTTGGAGAAAAAGAATCATTGGTTGGAATTCCATTGCTGTTATTTACTTGCTATCTGACCTTGGGCAAATTATTTTGCCTCTCTGATCTTTAACTGTTTTGTCTCTGTAATGTAAATAATAATATGTACCTTTCTCCAAAAGCCCACTGTATGATGTGACAGACACATGCGTGCATGCACACACACACACTCACATTCCTACAGGTGCATGCATATAGTGACTAATGAACTATCAATATTCACTCCTGCCTCCTTTTTAAAATTAACAAAAAGTGGGGGGTGGCACCTGGGTGGCTCAGTCAGTTAAGCATCTGACTTCAGCTCAGGTCATGATCTCACAGTTTACGGGTTCTAGCCCCGCGTCGGGCTCTGTGCTGACAGTTCAGAGCCTGGAACCTGCTTCGTATTCTGTGTCTCCCTCTCTCTCTGTCCCTGCCCTGCTCACACTCTGTCTCTGTCTCTTAAAAATAAATAAACATTAAATTTTTTTATTAAAAAAATTAAAAAGGGAATAACAGTTTTGAGATTTGGTGTGATTTAATGTACAGGGAGAAGCACTTTTTCTTCTTCAGGGGAAATTTGATAGAATTTATAAAAATATGAGAATTAAGTGAGTCCTGCATCCACTGGGTGCAAAGGCAGTGGTCCCAGACTGACAACTGATGTTATCTGGGAGGTTAAACCCTGGCGGCTCTACTGAAGTTTCAAGTCTCTGCAGCCCCCTAGTGGCCACTGATTGTAGCAGAAGATTCATAGTTCTCGACAAATTACTCCAGTCAATTGGACTTTGGACAAGAATTATGTAGAGAATAAGGAATGGAGTGGGGGAGTGAAAGGACCTACATTTGAGTCTTTTAAACATTTCAAATAGAAAATTATTCTTCTATCAGTGTGCACACCAGTGAAAGCTGATGAAAATGAAAACATATATGGTCACATACTAGGAAAGTATCAACCAACATATCCTTTCCAAATATTAGCTCCCATGCCCTTTCCTTCCTCTTCTCTTTCTCTTTCTCTTCCTCCCTCCCTCCCTCCCTCCCTCCGTCCCTTCTATCAAGGTACAAGCATCCATTCTAGTCCTTGGGCCAAAGCATTCTTTGCCCTTAAACTTTTAAAGTCAGTGTACCGTTTGAGTTCCAGGGAGAAGCCAGTTACCTTGTTAAATTAAGTGAGTTACCACACATAGAGCAGGAAGCAAATCATTCCAAGGATCAATTTTCTTTTGTCATTAGGTCTTTCAGTTGCCAAAGGCAATGCAACAGGCCCTAAGGAACCCAGCCTGTGAGAGCAGAGGCCCTGTTTGGCTACCACCTCCTGTGAGTTAGTGGACACATTACTGCAGCACTCTGCAGCTCAGCGAGGGAGATTCAACTCCACTCTATGCTCTGATTCTATGAGGAAGCTTCTCTGCTGTCAGTCTATGAGCTCCTCAAGACAGGATCTTGCCTTATGTTTTGCTCTGACAGCACAAGGCATGACAATCAACCTTTGAGAAGAAGGAATGGAGGGATTTGTGTGAACTGAAGACTACAGTTCTGTCTCTGGTTCTAGTGAACCACTTGTTATAAATACAGCTATTCTCTGAGTTCTGTATTGGAAACTCTGGAGAGATAAAGGGAAAAAGATACTAGAGGTACAGTCCTTACTTCACAGATGAATAAAAAATGTTCTTTGGTTCTGAACTCTTGCTCCCAAGGCTATGAGCAAGTATTCAGTCATTATTCCTTCCAGCTAAGTCACCCTTCAGATCTTCTTGGTCTGTTATTCATGAAGAGATAGGTAAAGCCGCATGAATAAGAGTACAAGAGTGAGGGCCTGGGACGCACGTATGACTATGTGACCAAAGGAAAATCAATTGCCATCTGTTCGACTCCGTTTTCTCATCTCTAAAGCTGAAATTTAAAATATTTACCTTGCAGAGACGAAAGGAGGTGACACATGTTCAAGCACCGTTTTGAGAAAACACAGGGTAACTGACAAGTCTGAAATGTATTTGCTGCAGCTGAAGAACTCTTAAGCGATCACCGTTACTCTCTACCTCCACGCCGCTAACTTTTCTCATATCAATGGCAGAACTGTCAGGTTCCCAGGAATGCGTTTAAATAATGGAAGGGTCACAGAAGATTCTGTCTCGGGGCCTATTACAAGCTGCTCTCCATTTTGGCAATGTCGTGCTGCCCCTCCTCCCACTCCTTTACCCCTCGCCTCCAGTTTTATTTACGGAACCAGCTTTTCTGAAGTCGGACCCGTTTTAATCTTTTAAATGCATAATTAGGGAGAGTGCTTGATTGCAAAGGCCTCTTTCAGACCTCCCATTTATCCAAAACGCTCTCCTGTTCACATAACAGAGAAATAGGGCAGGGAATCTGGAGGAAGGGGAGGAAGGAGGGGAGAGTGATGGAGGGAGGGCGAGGCGGGCCCTGCGCTTTTCTCAATGAATGCCGAGGCCTCTGCAGATTTGCATAGGGGCCTATCTCGCCACGCCATTGGTTGGCGGGTGCGAGCGGGGCGGGGCGGGCCTGCCTGAGCCTGGCAGCAGTGCGGAGTTGGCCGTTCGAGCTCCGCCCCCGCCCCGGTCCCACCCCCTCCCGGCGCGAGCTCGCGCCTCAGCCAGCTGCAAGTGGCGGGCGCCCAGGCAGATGCGATCCAGCGGCTCCGGGGGCGGCAGCGGAGGTAGCAGCTGGCACATCCTGTCGCCGCTGTCCGGAGGGTCGCGCAGTACTGAAGCTCCTTCCGGCCGCCCTCTGCCCAGCCAACTGAAGCCAAGGGGGCTGCCAATGGGTGAGGAGGGGGCAGCAAGATTTCGGGCTGTTTTGCACAGAATGCTTTCACTCGGCTGCTGCCGCCGGGGCCGCTTCGGTGCCTGAGAACTCTGAGCAGACGAAACGCGGGAGGAGAGCAAGGACGCTGCAAACTTGCGCCGCGGCGCCCTGAGCCTCCACTTCACATCGCGGGGGCTTGATTCAAGCCCAGAAGTTCAGCGGGCAGTGCAGTCCGCAGACTTCTCGCTGCGGAGGGTTGCAGGAGGGTGCCCGACAAAGCAACCCCTGGCCCCGGTTTTTCCCTACACTGAGGAAGAGGAGCTCAGAAGCTCAAAGAAGCGCTGGGGAAGGGGCTAGAACAGCAGAACGCTCCGAACCATCGTTCCCAGCTGGAAAGTTGCGGACGTATTGGAGGCTGCTGGAGAGCGCGGACAGACCACAGCTCAAGCCTCGGAGGGCAGGAGAGGACTCCATCGCCACCTCCCTTCAACCATAGTAGTTTCTCTTGTTCTGGAGCGCAGTAAGCTACAGACGGGGGCGCGGCACGAGTTGTGGCGCGCCAGAGGCACAGGGTCCCAGCTGCTGAGTCCGAGGTGCTCAGGGTCTCTTGACACACCCTTGAGCCTCCAGCCCCATTTTATTGAGACTCCCGCTTGCCTCCTTGCAGTTGGAGGGAAGCTAGAGAATCAAGTGGACGCCTAATCCCCCAGATATCAGGTGGAAGGAACTGTTCAGGACCAAGGACTATTCGGAGCCCCTTTTCATTTGAGGGGAAGTGAAGGGCGAGGCTGGATCCTGGAGAGTCGGGAGACTAGTATAAACAACTCTTCTCTGGCGGGATGGGAGCCTTAGGGCTCCTAGGGCTGCTGCTACTGCTGCTTTCAGCGGCAGCCTTGGGCTCCGGAACCGGGACTGGGACTGGCACCGGCCATCTCGCCGGCTCACCCGCCGTGGGACCAGCTCTGCAGCCTCGGGAGCCTCTCAGCTACTCACGTCTGCAGAGGAAGAGCCTGGCGGTGGACTTTGTGGTGCCCTCGCTCTTCCGTGTCTATGCTCGGGACCTGCTGCTGCCGCCTTCGTCCTTCTTGGAGCCGAGGGCCAGACGGCCTGAGGCACGCGGCTCCTTGGCTCTCGACTGCGCCCCACTACTTAGGCTGGTAGGGCAACCGCCCGGGGTCTCCTGGACGGAAGGCTCCAGCTCGCCAGCCCCTGCCCAGGCACGGACGCTGACCAGGGTGCTGAAGGGCGGCTCGGTTCGCAAGCTCCGGCGCGCCAAGCAGCTGGTACTGGAGCTGGGAGAGGAGGCGATCCTTGAGGGCTGTGTCGGGCCCCCAGAGGAGGTGATTGCGGGACTGCTCCAGTTCAACCTCAGCGAGCTGTTCAGCTGGTGGATTCACCACGGCGAAGGGCGGTTGAGGATCCGCCTGATGCCAGAGAAGAAGGCTTCGGAAGTGGGCAGAGAGGGAAGGCTGTCCGCGGCGATCCGTGCCTCCCAGCCCCGGCTTCTCTTCCAGATCTTGGGGATCGGTGAGCAGCTCCCGCCTGAACGTGTCGGGATTTGTATTTTTAGGCACATCAATTTGCAACCACTGTCAACTAATCCCTATTTTCAAAACCCCAGCCTCTGGTTCTTAGGTCTTTCCTCCTTTTGCAAACCTCCTCCCACAGTTAGATCATAAAATACGGTCTTATGTTCTTGCTGAAAAGAGTCACTTCCCAGGGTTTTCCTTCCTCTCCAGTAACCAAGTTGGAAGAAAAGTTTTCTCTCTTGGCAGAATGCTTCTTCTTTCTACCGATTTACACCGGGTCCCAGCCAAAATTGGATGCACTTTGAACAGGGGAGGACCCCTGGGACAGTTGAAATGTCCTTATTACTTCTACGTTCCAAGCTTAGTTCTAGATGTCACGACTGTTGCCATCTTCCCTTTCCCTTGTTCCTCTTTCTGGCCACCGTAGATGTGGGTAATGTGGTGCACTTTCTTGGAGAATGTAGAAGTCTTCTTTATGTGGTTGAATCTCCCCTAGCTGTTCTCTTCAAATGTTGACTTATGTACAGATTGTCTCTTCTTCATTAATTTATTCTGCTCCCTCTCTCCAACCCCAGTCTGCTATCCACTCTCAGACTCTTTTTTTCCCCCCTCTCAGATGTTGTTGGAAGAGCCCCAGAGGAACTAAGAAATACGGGACAGGAGGGAGGTGTGAAGAGAGGGAGCAGAGTTGTTAAGATTCTCTCCCATTGGGAGAGTCACTGTGAAGCCAGAAGAGACAATA